CGAATCCTCCCTCGTTACAGTGCAGCCCCTCGTCCCGAGGCTCTCTCCTCACAGATCAGCGGGCCAAGGGACAGTCGGCCTGGCAGTCCATCGGGAGGAGAGGCAGGAGGAAGACACCACTCCCTAACAGAAGGATGCGCACTCAGGACAGCCTGGATACGCTTTCCCAGGACAACGCCACCCCCCATTATCTGGAGTTTAAGCAGAGTTAAACCTGGTTGCAAAACCTGGTTTTGCTTCTTTCCTTTCACGCAGCCTCTGTGAAGGGGTTTGACGCAGCTGCACGCAGACCAGCCCTCTCCCACGCTAAGCACCAAGTGAGATCCAAACCTCATCCACAACCCCACGTCCATCCCCCCAGAATCCTTCCCAGCCAGTCCCAGGCCTGGAGAAACAGCCGCAGCGCGGCCCTCGCTCACCTTCACGAACCAGACCGGCACGAAGGCCACGTAGTAGGCACTGAGCATGGAGCTCACCAGCACCTCCTTCATCCGCCAGTTAAAGTCCATTTTCAGGTACTCCACCTCGTTGCGGATGAGATCCGGGGAGAGGCAGCAGGCGTGCGTGGGCATGGCCTCCATGCCGTACATCTGCCGCGTGTGCTGCTTCCAGGTCTCCTTTAGGACGGTCAGGTAGTCCCGGCCCCGCGAGTTCACCTCGCCGGTCTCTCTGGGACCGATGTTGGCCACCTGGGAGAAGAGGCTCGTCTTCCGAAAGTCACAGTTCAGCTGGAGGAAGGGAATGTACATGCCAAACCTGGAGCAGCAAAGTGCGGGAAGGCGGTTATCCACAGGAGCTGGCCGTGCAGCGCCTTTGCTGCCAGCAGGGCAGCAGCACCCCCCACCCCCCAAACGGCACCCATATAAACCCCGGAAAAGAGCTTTGCCAGCCTCAAACACCAGCACCACGTCTCGCATCTTTAGGAGATGCTTCCTCCAGCATCGGCATCTGCCGGAGAGCAGGGAGCAGTTTCCACCTCTTGACTGGAAACAGACCTGGCTTCCCCGGGTCGGCAGCAGGAAGCAGGGAAGCTGTTTGATTCACCCCCTGGCAGAGGCACCCAAGGGCCAAGGTGAACCGAAGAGGAGGGTTCCACAGAAGAGCACACCTCCTTCCCGCGGAACACAAGCAACCCATAGCACCACGGAATGGTTTGGGTGGGAAGGGACCTTAAAGCCCATCCAGTCCCACCCCCTGCCATGGGCAGGGACACCTTCCATAGCCCAGGTTGCTCCAAGCCTCATCCAGCCTGGCCTTGGACACTTCCAGGGATGGGGCATCCACAGCTTCTCTGGGCAACCTGTCCCAGTGCCTCCCCACCCTCTGCGGGAAGAATTCCTTCCTGATGGCCCATCTCCATCTCCCTCTTTCCGTTCACACCCATCACCCCTTGTCCTGTCACTCCCTGCCCGTGGGAAAAGCCCCCCCAGCTTTCTTGTAGCCCCCCCAGGCACTGAACTAGTAATTCATGCTCACACTAAAGCCGAAATGTGGGTAAACGTTAACGACACGCCCGGCCCGGAAGAAGAAATGTGACGCAGCAAGAGGGAAAAGGGTAGTCGAGGGTCTGTCACCAGGTAATCGAGTGTTTTACTTTGAGGCTTCAACACCCTCTGCATGAAGCACCATCAGGAAGCACAGACAAGCGACAGAGGTACTTACGGGTAACAGAGGAACAGGAGGTTCAGGAAGGAGTAGGTTCTGAACAGGTGAATTATCGACCGACACAAACTCCAGCCTGTGCCGGTGAGAACAGCAAACCGAGTGATCACCAAGAAAACAGAGCGCGGCAGCGAGACTTTGCCGCTCTGTGACGCCTGCGGGGAGAGAAGAAAGAGCTGGGCGGAGGGAGAGGAGTTCGCTCTTCCTGCAGGACGCAAACGGCAGATGAGCAGCACTCGGCCTGTAAAACCCACGTCATCGGCACGAAGGGCGAGTGAAAGGCTCGCCCTGACTGCCACCAGGGAGGGGAGGCCTTCTCCAGCCTGGATGCTCCAGAACCCAGGGCCTCGAGTGACCAGGAGAGCAGGAGAAGAGCCGAGCGCGGCTCTCCACGAGGAGGAAGCAGAATTACCGCAGCCTGGTTGAGGCGGCAGCTCGGGAACAATCAGGACAGAGTCCTGAGCAATGGCCTGAGAGCTCATTTCTGCTCTTCCCACTGGAATCCGTGCCCAGGTTTCTGACCTGGGACACAGCACAAAGCCCTTTAGGAAAGGATGAGAGTTTGGAACCACAAAAGGGACTCACAGCTCTACATTTTTCCTGAGGGGAAGGAACAGTTCCGAGATCTGCCTGGGGACTTTACCTCCTTCACAATAGCACCGATCAGCCGGCGTGCCAGGACGATTGTTGTCACCGTCAGCACGTTGAAGTCAATCAGGTGAAAGTTCTGCAGTGACAAAAACAAAGTGATTCCGCTTTCCCTCAGGCAGCAGAAACCCACACTCAACAGAGAAGCCCCCGAGTTATTCTCTCCTCCTCGGACTGCCTCTTCCAAGATCAGGAAGAGA